GTAATCCTCAGTGAGAGGCAAAAAAAAACATTCATCTCCCAAGCCCCTAAGGGGATATAGTGCTGGTCTAAATTTCTAGAATTTGGAGAGAAGCAAATGATTCACAATAATATACTGATCATCTACAAAAAATATTTTCTTCTTCCATGGAACTATTTAAAATAAAGTCTGGGGCCGGCCCGGTAGCGCACTGGATAGTGCGTGGCTTGGGAAGCGCAGCGGCACTCCCGCCCGAGGGTTCGGATCCCACATACAGACCGGTTCCCGCTCACTGGCTGAGCGAGGCACGGGAGCAACACCGAGGGTTGTGATCCCGTTGCTGGTCCCCGGTCCGGTACGGGGGCAACACTGAGGGTTGCGATCCGTTGCCGGACACGGAAAAAGACAAAAGACAAAAAATAAATAAATAAATAAAAAAATAAAGTCTGGACTTGCCTCCCATGTGTGTTTAGCTCCAAAGTAAGAGGGGGATGAGTTGGGGATGGACAACAACTTTTTGCAAGGAAACAAATGTCCACTTTTGTAAAATAAATAGCTATGCAAGAAAAGGAACCCAGAGTATGGATAAAAGATGGGGAGAAAGTATATGTCCTCCCTTAATAAAAAGGAAGAAAAAATATTCTTTTTTTAAATTATGATTTTCGGGCAATGAAATAAAAAGAAAAGATATCTCAATGAATATCACGTAAACTGAAAAATACTTCTGGTATATATAGGTGAAAAAAAATAACATCTAGTTGTGTTAAGAAATGGAAAACGGGAAAATATATTCTGTTCCTGAAATTGACTAGAGGCCAGGAATAAAAAAGAAAAAAATAAAAAGCCCTCTCTCTGTTCTCTAGTAGTTTTCAGTCTGGTGAAGGAAGGTAGAAAGCAAAGTGCCACAAAGCGTTCTACGGGCTGTGATTCAGTCCTACGTAGGGAGCAGTCATTTCTTCTTGGAGCTGTGCGATGAGTCAGAAATGACTTCACTGGGGGGGGTGGGGGGGGAGACGAAAGATGAGTAGGTTTACCAACTGGGTGGGCATTCACGGGGAAACAGAGAACAAGGACGCAAAGTCTGGAACAGCTTAGGGACTCAGTCCCCCTAAACACTCTAAGGTGTGACCTACGAACCGCATCTTCTCAAAAGCTGGAACTGTGAGGGGTGGATGATTGGCACGAGGGCATTTGTGGCTGACGTTTCTCAGTTCCTGCTCTGCTCATAGGGACTAACAATCCTGTGAATTGCAATTGCATTATTCAAATAACCCACTACCAACTTGTCATTTCTTTGAATCAACACTATCTTTGAATTTATTTATTCATAAGTGGTATGATGGGTCCTAGAGTGGAAGTTAGGTTATCAATCCTGAGATTACCACTGTCACCCAAAGCTTAGAGAAATCAGTCTCCCTATGATTCATACGGTCTTTACCTTCCTGAAAATGAAAAAAAAAATATATATATATATATAGTAATCTCAGATAATAATAGTTAACCTATATTAAGATCCAGTAGGACATCTGATTTTGGGATCATGCTGGACAGTTCCAAATTGCAGTTGCATTCCTGACTGTCACCAAATAGACGCAAGCAGAAGACCTTATTTCTATGACAGCCGAAAGTATGCACATAATTTTCAGGATGCTTCCTCGGAGGGTCTGTTGTCTTTAGACACCGCCGCCTGTCCTCTGCCCGGCCCTCCCTGGCCTGCTCTCCCGCTCCCGCCCCCCAGAGGGCGCTCCCCGGTCCTTCCCGCATCTGCGTCCTCCGCTTCCCTGAGACTCGTTTCTAAAGCCTGTCCTGACAGACGGCTTTTCTGACACCACTTCAGAGGCACTTGATTTCATTTTCTCAACACTCATACGCCTGAAATTCACTTTATGATCTGCTCTCTGCTCCCACGAACACACACCCATTAAGTGAACATGCCATGAAAAAACTCATAGGGAGACCGTATCAATCATCGTCGCGAGTGGAAACACGTGGCACTCGCGGGGCCATCTGGGATTCGTAAAAGACTGTTGACTGACGTGGGAGCAGTGTCTGGAGAAGAAATAGCATGTTGATGCAGTTGCCACCCTAGGACAGAAGGAAGGGAGGGAATCTGGAGACACTTGGGCTGTTTAGTGAGAGACCCGGGCCAGAAACAGTGTGGCATGGGGGGAAACAAAAACGTAAGGTCGTTCTTCTTATACCCTCCAACCTCCTGCCAATTGTGCTAAGGCGACCAAAGCTGGGGAAGGGTTTAAAATGGATCTGGAGGGGCAAATGAAAGAGTGTTCACGCTACACGCTCAACCCTACTAACTGAGCCTGAGTGGAGCATCTATTTTAGGACAAGTGCTGACTACGTCTATTGTCCCATGTCTCAGTCTTGAGATTTATTTGCCTGCAATGAAAAAGGTGGCTCATATAAAACCATATCCTGGATTATCACATGCAATATTTTAAGAATTTTGATATGTAGGATTGCATTATTTTCATCTCAAAATGTTATCCTGGAAGTATTAAACCCATTTTTACAAAATAAACCGAGACCAATCAAGACCGAGGCATTTGCAGACATGAGGGTGACTGCAGAGGGAAAATATATCTCTTGGCAGACGACCTTCCTTTGATATATTACTTAAAATGTATAACCCTCTCAACCATACATATCCATTTTATTGGCAAAAATAATATCTAACAATATTTTACTCATTCTTGCTTTTACTCTAATTGTTTTGATGTTGGAAAGCTCGTCAGGTGTAAGACACTCAAATCAAAGGTTTCAATGTATAATTATCTATCAACCTCCCCCCCCCCATACATAGGATTTATTTCAGCATTATATGGAATTAATTACAGTTTGTGGCATCACTGTTATGAAGTATTTATGCTGTTCATTAAATTCATGGGTTCCCTTTTTCTCTCTTTAGGCTCTGGCTATTATCCTATCAGGCAGTTTACTCTATCTTTATTTGTATATAAAATACTGAAAGACAGATAGAAATGGACACATAAACCTAAACCTAAATCCTGAAACAATAGCATTAACCCAGTCCTTCGCAAAGTTCCTCCTTCCTTGAGACTGTGTAATCCATTTGCTTATCTTCCATTGCTTGTTAGGTAGTTAATAAACAATGGGTGGCCATAAGAAGAATAGCTTCTTGAAAAGGAGATTTTCTCCCCAGTATTTTTCAATAAACTACCATGTTAAAGATTCTCTTCTCATGGGTGAATTCCCCAGATTTTAGCTCTAAAAAAATTGCACAAATACTATATTTTATTTCTCTAGGACAGTGTTTCTTAAAGTGTTGGCGTGGAAGGGAAAGCACATCGTGGTGACCACTAGAGACTGTCTTTCACACTGCACGTACAACCTTTTCCTCTCTCTGAACTCTAGCACACTGCCTTGCAGTTAGGCAGCAGTGCACTGAAAGCAGGGCTAGAAGCAGCAGACAGGTCACCTATCAGACACAGGAGGGTGGGACAGTGAGTGTGATGGAAGGGTCTGGACAGTTTTAACAAATCACCAAAAGAAAAACACCCCTCTTAAATATGTCTGATAATAAGTATTTCCTCTCTTTTTCAATTGCATCTTAATGATTTCATTAACTGGATCCCAGAGATAGCTTTTTATATAGTTCAGCAAATACCCAGGGAGAAGCAACTCCACAAGTGTCTTTCTCATTCTGTGTATATATACACACATACATACACGTACACACTTATACATATACATATATATATGTATAGTATACAATTTTTATATTATAAATTTTCATGTTTGGAAATAAATTAAAGAAAATATGTGATTTTCATATGGAAAATGAATTGTAAAGATAGATCTTGGTCAACAGCAGGACAAGACAACATGCATATAAATCAAACACAGGTATTTAACTAGAAAATATAGGCATTGTAAATCAGGCAGAATTCACATAGCTTAAGGTATATAAGACTAGAACACTGAGATGTAGAGATGAAGAATCTTAGTTAAGAAACTTGGAAATGAAGTATCAGGAGACCTTGCTGGAGGCAGTACAAACAGATTGAATCAAAAAAGTGTCAGTACCAATTCATGAACAGAGCATTAGTAACAGAAATGAAGCTTGTCTTTTTTGTAATTTACCTGCCAAGGGTTAGAAGAAATCTCAGATTATATTTAAGTCTGAATTAGCAACAAAACAGCACTTGGTAAGTAAATAGTAAAAAGTACAGATAAAATGGGGATGCATATTGGGCTTATGATTTGGATACTATACAGTCGTGTTGATGGTTGAGACCATCTTTGTTATTCATATATGCTACTTTATTTAAGAAACAACACTACCAAAGCCATGTGAGGTTAAGAAAAATGCTGACCAATCTCTTTCTAAAACCATTGGCTATAAATTGGAATTAGGTATAAAATTTATTTATGATTTTACTTGCAAAGAATCCAGAAGGTATTAGTTATTATGCTATGAATATATATAAATATAAATTAGTTTTACCCTTGGACACAGGGAATAAAATGAACACAATATGTAAATATGTATATATACTATAAGATTCATGATTGTAAATTTAATTATTCATAGATTCATTCATTCAGCCAGTTATTCATTTAGTCAGTGGGTCAACACATATTTATTGAGTTCCTTGCAAAAGGTAGGCACTGTCCTATGTGTTGATACACTTGGTAACAAGAAAGACAAGCTCCCTGGATTCTTTTAAAGATAATCATGTGTATAAATCATGTCTAACTTGATTGACTTAATGAATGATGGCTGTCTTTTGGAGCTGATATATTTTTCTTCAGCTGTATTCCTTACAACTGCACATCATTTTATTGTGTGGCTATTACTATAACATACTAAATTATGTTCTAATCATTAAAAATTTCATGTATTTTACTTTTTAAAGACACTAATGTTAGCTAGCAGAACTTTTCTAGTGAATCTATATAAAAACATTTTTTTGTTGCAGACTATTTTGGAAAGCACAGTATTTGTGATATATATTTTGTATTATTATTTTTTTCCTCTTAAGGTGTTATTAGAACAGCTTTGCCAAACATGGACAGAGAAGTCAAGGAACAATACCAAGTACTCATACAAGCCAAGGATATGGGAGGACAACTGGGAGGATTAGCTGGAACGACAATAGTCAATATCACCCTCACTGATGTCAATGACAACCCACCTCGATTCCCCAAAAGTATGTCCTCTTTTCTGTTAAGTCTAAATTAGTGCAGCTTTTATTATTATTATTATTATTCTTTGCAATGCCATTGAATGCTATAGGAATTGATCTAATTTTCTTGACGCTTTTAGTATTTATGAAGCAGAAATTAATAGATAAATATCAAATGTCTTTAGATTTAAATTTTTCAGTTAGAACCATGCCCAATGGTACTTTAATAAAAAATGAGTCAATAGTTGAAAAATGCATCTTATGCTATTGATTGTGATTAAAGTAAAATATTCACAACAGGTTGAGATCTTACTTTAATATCTTATTAAATGAAGAAGTAATATAAACATGCAAAATCTAATGTAACTTTAGGTCTCATATTTATAACACGGATGCCACCATATTATTTGGTATATCATATAATTAGCATAAAAATTCTTTGCATTCTTTTTAGCAATTATGTGTTGAACCAATTTCATATATTTTCATGTAAGTTTCAGATGATGTTGATGCTACTTACATTGCTTTAGTTCTGACCAGTTATTATATTTTAGTTTGTCATTGGTGAAGATTGCTGTACTTTCTATGATAATAGAATGATTCACACCTGTACCTTCTCTGTGACTCTGTGTTTCTTATTGAAAATGAATTCTTCTCACTGTGTTACATCTAGTTTTCTTTTTCAGTGTTACATTTAACACCAATCAGTGCCTTTTCGATTCCTGGTGCATTTTCAAGGATTATTTCAGTGTTCCTAGGACATAGAATATAGAAGCCAAAGGTTTCGATCACTGGTTTTATAAGTAACTTGATTAAATCAGTAGGTGAACGTTTGCATAAACATTTAAAAAAAAAAAAAAAGAACAAAATGATTTTCCTCTTCCCTGGATGGAGAGTTTGTGATTTCATCAACTAAAATATATAACATTGAAGATATTTAATAGATGTTTTCTTCCTTTGGATATATGATTTTCCCTATTTTACTACCTTGACACTTTTTAAAGAAATTGTCAATCAATATTTTTTTAATGGAAATGTTTTTACTTAGTGATCAGCTAATGGCCAAATGTTATGAGAATGGCAATTAAAAGTTATTGTACTTTAATGTGTATGTTAATTAGCTCAGGCGAGCCATTCAATTCCACTAAATATACATGTTTCAAAATGTCATGTTGTACAAATTAAGATATACTATTTCCATTTGTCAATAAAAATTAGTTAAAAAAATCATCATACTTTAACATATGGAATGTATGTGACAAGTGACTACTATATAATACATTATAATTAATAACACAGGGAGTCTTGGCCAAAACTTTTCCTTACATTGCTATTAAGGAAAACAGAAAAAAAAAGTATTTAAAAAGAGAAAAAAATAGCACATTTGGTTTTTTAGCACATGACATTATTAAAGAATATGTTCCCAATTCTAAAAGCACTCAGTTTTCTTTCTTTCTTTCTTTCTTTCTTTCTTTCTTTCTTTCTTTCTTTCTTTCTTTTACTTAAGTGTGGCAAGTTGTAACAGCCAGTTGAGGAGGATAGATTGGAAGATTAATTTTCTTGCATATAAAAATGGCATTGTGAACTTGCGTCTTGTTTTGGGTTCTGTGCATGTAAAATGTGTTCAATCTAGAGTGTAGAAAATAATGAACATCTTCCTGGATAATGTCAATATTTTTATTCACACGAGTGATAGTGAGGATTTTCAGATGAGGGATACAAAACCACAGTTAGTGGAAGGATACAATCCTTGCGGGTGTGGGGGCTAGTGGTTTGTAGAAGTTGGGGCAGGTACACAGACAAACAGGCTGGGGGCACCCATCTCAATAGTAGAGAAGCTAGAGTATGCCGAGGAAACCAAGATAGCATGTTTAAGTATCACTGAAACAGGAAGACTACTTTCAGATCTTACCTTGGTGAAAAGAGAATAAATAGTAGTAGGCTTGAATTTATAAGTCAAATAAGTTCAACTTATTTGGTCAAAGTTGAATCTGCAGGTCTAAGAGAACCTAAATGAAATCTGCTTGGAACTAATGTGTGGAATAAGGGCACTGAAACTTTTGAAGCATTTACATGCTGTCTGGAACTTTATCATTGCTATTTTCTTTTCTTTTCACAACAAAGCTTTGAGATCAAATATTTTCCACATTTTATGATAAACAAAACTGAGGCTTATAGAGTAATAAATAATTTGCCCAAGATCTACAAAATAAAGTGGCATTTTTTAAACTCTGAAGTTCAAATTCTTTCTTATTTAATATAATATTAAAATAAAAACTTGTTTTTGTTTTACCTGCCACTCTAAGACAACGTTCTTTTAGAACATATATGCCAACGAAACATGACATATGTTGAATTGCCACCACTCAGAGGAATAAGAAGGCAGGAGAAATCTATCAACTAGATCTCTATGATCAAATTATTTTCTGCTTGTATTACATGCACATTTGGACTATCGATTGAAACTATAATAGATGGGAGATATTTTTGAATCACGACGAAAAAGGTTTTCACATTTTGCATGAATAAAAAATAATCTTGAAATTTTACATTTTGAATTGCATCCTTTAGGGGAAAAGACAGAGAACTTTTATAAATAGAAAAGCCATCTATTTAGAAGACAATGATCTTTCTGTAGGAATATTTTCCATATAAAGCAATTAAACAGCAAATGTGACATGAAACTAAAAACTAATAATATCTCTTTGAACATAAAAGTCAAGAAAACATATACTCCATACACAAATAACTTAAAAGAGAATTCCCCACAAGAAGCTTGAAGTAATTATGCTCAAAAAAACACCTCCCTTCAGATAAACTTTATGAGATACTTTTTTCATTGCTCAAGTATGCTCACAATAATTTCTTAAGACTTCCTATTCATAATGTGTTTTGGCTTTGTGTGTGTTCATATTCATATGTGACATTGCGAGCACTAATTTCCTTTCATTTTCTTATATAAATCTGAGATAGATAGAAAAAAAATGGCTTATAATTTGTACCACGCATATGTAAATAATTTTCTATTTTATTGTGTTGTAAAATAGATGGTTCTTGAAATATCAGGACTTCCAGCAAGTTTGATGATGGTGATCATGATAATGACTAATAAATTGCTATGGTCATGCACTATACAAGGAGATTTGCATATATATGTATTCCCATTTAACTCTTATAATGACTATATAACATTTCCTCAGTTTTAGAAATAGCAAGGTTGTATTATTAAGAAAGGTTAAATAACTTATCCAAAAGCCCTGACTTTTTATGATTGTCCCTCTTGAATGGTACACCGATGTGCCTTTGATGCCTGTGTTGGCCTCAAAACGTACTACAGATAATTCAGAAAACTGTTTATAAACAAAAGTAGTAATACTATTTCAGAAATTGATATATTACAGGGCTTATTAAAAGAGCTCTACCTAAAGTCATATAAAGACAAAATGTTGTCTTTGCAAAATGTTTTCTATAGAGTTGTATAGCTTCCATCTACTACAATCAAGGATATATGTAGAGGATCGCCATCTGTTAAAACAAGCTATGGAAAAATGCTAATGGTCTCCATTGCTGGAATTTTAAATGACTGAACCATCTAAAAAGCTGATATAAATTATATATTATGAGATCAAATCAATTAAGTAATGGGGTTAAATCATATTTGGCAAAATATTCATACTTTTCCCACTTGTTCTCTTTGTTATGTATAATAATTTTGTGCAGAATATAAAAACAAATTAGTAAAATAAAACACTCCATATACAATATTGGATGAAAAGAAAATGTAAAAAAGTGCTTGTTTCTTTGTTCATTTCTATTTCAGTACTATGAGAGAATAAGATAACTGTATCTTAAATAAGTTCAAATGGGAAAAATATGATATCAACAATTGTTTCAAGAAAATTTCTTACTCATAAATAAAACTACATTTTAAAAAATCCTGTTTTGATCAAATATTTATTGAACATGTCTATATTGACTATTTCTAGCTATAGAAATTTTGATTCTGTTACAAGTCAGTATTACATTATTTGCACAATAGTTAAAATATAAAACATAAATAGTTGGTTAACTTGTTGACAAATAAAACACTTGCAAAAAATTTGTTATTGTTCTAAAAATAACATAAAAATTAAATAAATTAAACCATTAAAAGTATCAGCCAAAATGCCTACTGAATGAACAACGAGCAATATTTGATCTCCCTGTTTACACAAACTGTCAGATAAAAACTACATGTATATATGTGTGTGTATATATATGTATATATAAATATATACGTATTTGCACTTATTAACCCATTTCTGTTGCTTACAACAAAATACCTGGAACTGGGTCATTTGTAAGAGAATGAAATTTATTCCTTACAGTTTCAGAAGTTGGGAAGTCCAAAGTCCAGGGGAAAGAAACTGGTGAGAGCCCCTTCTTGGTGGTAACTCTACAGTGATACAAGGTATCACATGGTGAAATGGCAGAAGCAGAGAGAGAGCTGACCTCCTTGATGGCTTTCCTTTTAAAGACCTCAGAACCAAACACATGACAACAACTAACCATCAATGGATTAATCCATTTACTAGGGCATGGCCCTCACAATCTATTCATCTCCTCAAGGCCCCACCTTTTAATGACCATAGTAGGACTTCCCATCCTCTTACCACTGTCACAGTGGGGTTAAGTTTCTAATACTGGACTTTGGGGGACACAATTTGATCCACAGAAGTGCAGCTATATGTTCTTTCTTCTATTGTATATTCATGACATAGAAAGACTACCTGATACTCATGTTAGTGACCGAATTATTAAAGACAAAGATGTTGACATATATAAATTTGTTCAGTGAAAAATATTGACATGTTTAAGTAAAATATATTTCGCCTTTTCTCTTGAAATTATTTTTTTGACATCTCTATTTAGACTGGTTCTTTTGTCATCTTGAAATCTATCATATATTTTTTATAAAAGAAGTATTCATGATAATATGTAACTTATAATAATTGTCTTTAGAATCAACATTAATCCAGTTACAT